TTAAGGTTTTGTCCCCCTTTTCCTTCATGCTTCTATGAAACCAATAAATAGTCACTGCACTCATCTTTGTTGTATTGAATGTTGGTAACATGCAGACAACTATTTACAAACGTAAATCACTTCTTGCCACATCTGTTTCTCCGTCCAGAGTTGCTTGTTTGTAATTAAGAAGCAACCATACACAGCTTGAAAGGTTTTTGAAGATCATTAGATGCATTAAGGATGACCCTGCAGTACCCAATTAATGTAGCAGAAAATGACTAGAGTGCAGTTAAGATCAAAGTTAGTAACATTAGCACCTCATGACTACCTGACTCAGACATAGACTCCTCGCTGTATGACCTTGTGTTATACCTAATCCAGGGAACAGAATATTGGCCCTTCTTTACGTTCACCTAGCTAAAACTGTTGCAGTCTTGACAGTCATGCAGTCATTCCTACCTTCAGGAAGGTGAAACTGTATTAGAGAGGTTCATTAAAGAGATTGATTCACAAAGAAACAACCCCTCTTTGCCATATCTTGTTATTGGCAGTTTAAGTGTACGTCAATAAGATGTGAGAAACAATTTGCATTTACAATCACTGAGCACGTAATTACGCTGCCTGTAGTATGAGATCACTGTGGAAAACAGTGGCCTCTAAGGCCGGCACGGGGGGTGGGGGGGTGGTACATACCTCATTTGTCTGAATCAATGATTATTCATTTAGGAGGCCGTGTTTACGTTTATCAAAACTAATACAAAGCCACAGCACATGAGGAGTTATCTATCATGTTCTTAGCGTAATCCAAGCTCTTGTGACTCCAGCAGACGCTTTGTTCACAGGAGATGAAGACTGTAAACTGTCTAACATCTTGTTGGCAGTGGGTTTGTCTTAAATCATCCTGCAGGCAACTGATTGGCTCCCATGATTAACCACGCAGCAAGTTATAAAGGAGTATGGGTTTGATTTGTTTAGTTTGTAAAGAACTCAGGTTCTGCGAAGATGGTCAATTTCATTTATTTATAGTAATAACTTGTCATGTGCTTTGTTTTTGTAACATATGAGAAAGTGATATTGATAATTGAGGAGAGAGTAGCATCAAGTCAGTGTTTACTAAATCCCAAGCGACGACTCTACCTATGAGTATTTTATGAAACACCTGATGGAGCTGTAGATAATCGGTAGGCTCTGAGGTTGATTGTACTGAGTCACCACTTATCCCAGGGTGCTGAGGTGAGAGAGTGAGTGAAAGCACATGTCCGTCTTTGAGAATAATGTTTCTGCTTATTTACATGGCAAACAATAGTGCCACCAAAACAAAATGCAAAATTCAGTAATAATTGTGCTTCAAAGTAGATCAGCCATTTTTGTTGTACAAGTCCCTCAGAGCTAAACATGCAGTTTCCAAAAAGTTAAACATTTTTGTTTTGTATTTAAGAAAAGAATGGAACTTCTACCATGAATCAGCGTTGTTTCCACAGCACTATTTCTTGGGGGAAAATGTATTTTCTTGACAAACCTGAGTGTTGGCAGCCTAAGTCTTGCCATGCATAGAGCACCTGCCAGTAGAGTTGAATGGCACCTGGTCTCTTATGCTCCTGTTTGCAAACCACTGACTACAAGAACAATGAGTTTACAATGGTCACTAGCTTCATCTTCGCCGCATCCCTTGCTCTGACAGTCTCAGACAGCTGACACAGCTTTTATCTTGCTGGGCAATTTCGCATTGCAGACCAGCCTTTGTTCATCTTTCACACTGTGCTAGTTATAAGGAAGGAATTATGCACTGAGGAAAATACTGCAGGAAAACACAGATGGTAACAGCAGCTACAGTAGGAATAAATATTGTTTTAATTATTATCTGCCACTCATAACAATTTTCTGCAGGTTTTTGCTGTTTGCAGATGTGCACAATTTACATTAACCCATATATTATGAATAGCACTTAACTTGGCTTAGAATATAAATTATTTTACATGTCTTTAAACCTTTTTTTGTAACAATGACAAATAGCTGAGTGGATACACTGTCTATGCAAGATCACTGATCATGTAGCAGCCCTTTCATTGTATGTGGAAAAACCCATCTCAGCTACATACTTCAACCCTGGTATTGCACCAGTCCATACAAATGGAAATTGTGCATTCTGTTTTTCCATCACAGGAGAGCACCCAATTTCTCCTCCCGCTGTCAGGTTGTGCACAGATGCATATGTTTGCATGCTTTCGTGTGGGCCACAGGAAATGGCTGTTGACAGCATAATGAGAGTATGAGGGTGCAATATAAATCCTTAATCATGCCTGAATCATGAACTGCGACACTTAAATGCACACATCCTGAACTAAGTCTTGCAGCGAGTCTAGACCCTGTGGGGTGTTTTGGCTACATTTTTAGGTATTTAATCAGTTTACCTATGTTTCAAAATAGATGACATATCAGAAAGAATTGTACTAGCATTGTCAAGTGATAGAGGTTCTCTTTGAGTACATGTGTATATGCAAATGGATTTCACAGCCAAATTCTGATCTTGGATCAAATACCACTTCACTGACATTATTTTGTGGCCATGACAGCAAAAATGTGCTGTTTCTTCATTTCTCAGTCCCGTTCAGTCATTTCTAATTAGTAAGCAAATAAAGAAAACTTTAATTCAAAGACACCGGCTGCATAAGTCAGGTCATGTCATGCTTAATAATCAAGAACAGAGGGAGCAAAAAGGTACATTAAGAAATATGTACGAATGAGGCCGAATGAACTAAATGAACAGTCACTTTATATGAATTAGGTCTGGTACAGTAGCACTTTATTTATTTATTTGTATCGCCAATCATGCATGAAGCACTTGTGCAAGTTTAGTGTTTGTTCACTAAAAGGGCCTCGGGAAGAGAAATAATCTTTGCTAGACACGATGGCAAAACCTTTAAAAGTATGCAGTGGCATTTTTCAAATTGCAGTTTATGATGTGGAACAATGAGTAGCAAACCAGCAGTGCTGTATTTATTGTACTGTGTAAACTATTTTTGTAAGAGGAAGATTTTTAGTCCTCTAACTAATCTATCATAACACTTCCTTGTGGTAACCTTGTTACCTCAAACTGTTCATACAGTACACTCCTCTCAATGCAGTATGTCAGCTTGTGCCCCAAAGTCACCCTTCCATATTTGAATAAGCGAGTCAGCTTGTTTGTCTGTATTATGGATGTCTATACTGTGAAGTTACACTTGAAGAAACAACTTCAAGTGTGAAGTCAAGTTAGCGTATATATAATAATCCTTGATATCCATGTTTGTGGTCAGCACTGAGGCATCATTCGTTTTTATTTTTGATTTTCATCTTTCTTCTTTTCCTTTGTCTGTCAAGCTAAAGCTATGCATGTGATCACTGATTGTATTAATTGCTGATTTTATTTATCTACTTTGTACCAGGGTGCATAGCAATATATTTTTAAGAAGAGACAACTAGTCACTAAATAGCAAATGTAAAATGCTTCATTTGATTATGCTGAATCCTGTCTGTCATAGCAAATAGTGGCAGAGGGAGCAGTGAAATAAACTTACATTTATGTACAAGCCTTGCAGATTTTTTGCAAAATCATTCACAATGTCATTATTTTGGGTCTATATGTATGTACCAGAGCAGTGTGAGGACAGGGAGCAAACCTTTTTATTAGCACCAAAGCCGGGAAAGAAAATGCTTTCTCCAGTTTTTTAATATATTTTCTTGGTCTGTGATAGGCCTCTAAACACCTTCAGTACATTGATGGAAAAAGAGAGCGAACAGAGGAGCAAAATGGAAATGGTAATAAACATGCTAATGCTAGGCTGTGGAGCTGGGAATAGCAGCTTCTACCCATCCCTCAGCTGTCTGTTGATGTGTGGCCGTGCATGTGTGTGTGTGCAAAGGGGAAAAAACAGATGCAGGCAGAGCAAGAGTGAAAGGCAAGAGGGTATGTGCACAGTATTGCATGTGGGAGCATGCCCACAGTGCCACCTTTCTCTTTCAAAACAAGTGTGTTTTGGTGGGGGGGGACAGCTTTTTTCCATTGGATGGAAGCACCCCTTTCAATAGGAACTCATTTGCCATGTTGTGTAATTGTACACATAATGGAGCAGACCTCATTCAAGCAGCCCAAGGCTTTTTTTCTAAAGCTATTTTCTCCATTCACAGCCAAACAAGTCATGTTTTAGAGAGATATTACACAGCCTTTTGAGCTCAGGCTACCACGTATTTGCCTTGGAATGCAATGTTGTGTGTAATCAAGATAAAATTTAGCTCAGTGCTTATTATAAAAGCAGCACTGTCAACCGACTTGATATTTGTCATCTGACTTTTATTCCCAGCGTTCAATGGACGTAAACAAAGTGGCTGACCTTTTCCACCTGGATTGTTACATGTTTGTGTAGAGGAGTGCTGAGTATTAACAGCCACTGTCACTGAAAGATATTGGCATTGAGGCAACCTGCAACCAGAATACTACCATAAACTGTATTTCTTTCTTTACTTACATGAGCACATACTATATTTTCTTTACATCAAATGCATATCAAAGTTTAGGTGCAGAGATGAAAAGTGACTGATTTGAAAGTTATTACTGAGCCTTTCCATTAAAGCACTGCAGGCTAGGAATAGATGAATATTTGCATAATTTAACTGGCATCTTAATTATTGTGTGAGGAATCTGTATGCAAATGGCTTAAGTCACTTAGAAATGGAAACTTATTTGGTGAAATGGTAATGGACTAAATCTTATCAAGTTAGGATACACAACACGTGTAACCACAGTCTAATTGGATTTGACTGTGTGGTGTGACAGTGAGAAAGAAGCAAAGCAAAGAGGGAAAGGCTACTAGACATAAAACAAATGCAAGCTTACCTGGGTTAGCTGGGAGAAAAGTGCATGCCTGTGTATGTATGTGTGTGTGTGTGTGTGTGTGTGTGTGTGTGTGTGTGTGTGTGTGTGTGTGTGTGTGTGTGTGTGTGTGTGTGTGTTCTTTGGCAGGGAGTTGAGAAGGACCTACCACGTAAAACTGTGAGTTTGGTAGAAGTGCTCGTCTCTCCAACACTGTTGGAGGCAACGCATTCATATATGGCTTCATCTCGGGGTGTGCGCAATGGCTGAATTCTTAGCACTGAACCAGAGCCATCGTCGAACTCAATCACCTGCAGGTGCGAGAGACAAGATATGTTAAAGGAGATTTTTTTGTTCACAATGGGTGAGGGACCATCCGCAGAGACAAAAAAAAGAAACACACTGTAAGGACATCTGGCTAACAGCACTGATGGTGACTGACACAATGTACTTCCTATGACAGAAAGAAAAGCCGCTGCCTACCTTACATTGAACCCTGGTGATTTTGTGTTCATTTGTGAGTACTGTTGTTATTGTGCATGTATAACAGCTTCAAGATTTTCAGTATTGGAATGCTTATTGATCAGATGATATGTAGGTAATGAGCATATTAGTTAGTTTGTTTACTTATTTGTTGTTGGTATGTGCCATTCAGTGTTCAGGTGTGCTGTCTTCTAAAAACTAGATCTGATGTGTAGTTTAATTCTGTGCATTCATTGGTAAAATAATCGATGTGGCTTGACTAACTTTAAGAATGGGTGAAGGTGAAAGAAGAAAGGTTTTGCTTGGATATTGGGTTGTAGACCAAATTTAAAATCTAAATGTGTCCCACTCTTAAAGTTCTATCCCTTGAAAAATGCATCACGTTGGATTGTGTCAATGGGACAGAAACAAGCACAAACATTTAAAGGTGGCTTGATAAACGGTTACGGACAGTTGTACCATGGGGTGAAATAGTGGTACAAAAGACAGGACCGACTGTTTTGGACGAACGACACAAAATGCTCACAAACAGGTGTTTGTTGTAGCTTATTCAGCTAGTTTTGCATGCTACGATGTATACTCACTGATTTAGAAAGCCCTGTGTCATAACTCAATCTCTTTTAAGCATAGAGGTAGATTTCAATAAACATACTCGAGACCTCTGCTTCACACACGCACACACACAGAAACACAAAAACTCACACACAGAGGCCTATGGACATTTTTTAAAGTTCACAGTACAGTACATCTCTGCATATTGGTTAACAGTACATTTCAACATTTCAGCGGCTGAGCTACAGCGATGTTAGCTTTCAAGCTGACAGCAGGTGATGTGAAAAAACAGCCTCCTTTCTTAAGCAAAGTGTGAATTAGAAAGGAAGCTATGACTTCTAAAAGAAAATGAGTTTTTTGTTAGAAGATGAATGGATGTGCATGGAATGGCAGCGTCCAGCGAGCCTCTTGAAGAAACAAGGGACCGAAAACTGGCGTGTTAGCATTCAGTACAACGTGCGAAGCAACCGCGATGAAGTCTGATAAGATTAGATTTCTGTAGTCGTTAGATGCAAAGACCAAGTGGAAAGAGGTCTTCAAGCTCTGTTAAGCCATTGCTGCTGAGTATTAGCAAGCAACTATGGCATCTAAAGCCATAAAAAGTGATACCCTGATAGTCCTGACAGAAATTAATAGAAATCTTATCAGTGTTCTGCGATGATGTTATTTCTTATGGATATGGAGCCCAACTGCAGATTAAAGCTGACCAGAGACTAGAGCTTCAGCCAAAATAAGGACAGCTGGACATGCATTTAGATAAAGATGCCACAAAGTGAAAGGAGATTTCAAAGTGACAGTGCTTCCTTCCCTTTCTCTTTGCATAAAGCTGGCAAATGTGGCATGATGCTAATGTAGGTATCTGGGTCACACCACAATTTGTTCTTTTTTTCTTCCATCCAATTGCTCTCTCCTTGTCTTTTATTTAATTACAAATCTGTCTCCAGATCTTTTGTATACTTGCTCATTAAAACTCATGCATGATTACAGGGCTGGCCAGCACGATTATTAGAGCCTGTTAATGCCTGGTGGCAACTCAGGGCAAAGAGCAAGTGAGCGAGGCTTGGTGCGATGGATTATGTGCAAGCAGAGCCAAAAGCAGTGCTGAAGCATTCCCATTTGTCGAGCATTTTACATCAGAACAATAGACCTAATACCTCAAATCTCTGGTTGCTGACTTTCTTCCCCTTCTTGTTCCACACAATCTTCGGCCGTGGATCTCCTGTAGCTTGGCAGATGAAGGATGCCACGCCTCCTTGCACGCCTGTTTGGTCATTGGGGATTCTTAAAAACTTTGGTGGTGCTGGTGGAAAAAAAAAACAATAAAAGATAAAACAGTTTGTGAGCATGCTAAGAGCTGCAGACAGCAATTAATCTCTCTTATCAAGCCACACAGTCGAAAATAACAAGGTTGCAGATTTCAGCATGTGGCTTTTAGGACGATTGTTTTTGGAGGTCAAGACAAGGGATTGCTCTGACTTTATTTTGCAGTTGGAAACAGATGACCTGCGACTGACACAAGTACATTGACTTAGGTCTTGGGCACAGAATGTACAAGCATTTTACCCTGGAAGGCTTTCTGAGTAACTCTGAAATTTCCAGTGACCAGTATTCACAATCATTAACAGCCTGACCTTTAGAAAGGAAGCCTCAGATAAAGAGACACATTTTTGCAAGAAAGAAAGCAGGGGTTAAGATTCAGGAGAAAAGATAAAGTAGATTTTTTTTTTGTAGATGTGACAAACTTTGGTGTGGATGTTGGTTATTTTGACTAGTGTGTCTAGAAACAGTTTGTATACCGTATTCCCAACACAGCCTACAAAAAGGATATGAAGCAACTTACTGTTTTTCTAATACCTTTGCTTCCTAATATAATATTAGGTGTTTATGTTGCTGACAAACTGATCTGCCATGACAGGGCTAGGAACTCACTCAGCACTTTCTTGTTACTGTTTGTGAAGGGATTATTGTGAACTGTTTTTTTTTTTTTACATCACTTGGCATATAAGTCAGTGTGAATTATAACAAGCTGTTATCCATCATGTTGTCCACCTGCTGTGCCTGTAAATCATGCAGCCATTTGTTTTCTTTTTTTCCAGTAAGAGGTTGAGTCTATTTCAGAGAAACAGAATCTTGTCAGTTCAGTAGCAAGCAATACAAATTTCTAGAAAACTGCCAACATGCACCCAATAAGGTCATCACACTGCTCCGATTGCCGATGTGAGCGTTCTCTTGCTCCTAACTGGTCCCTCAATTCAGTAGAACAAGTCAAGTGTAAAAGCAAATAGGATAAAAATGCAGGGGAGTGGAGGTTAGAGAATAGCATGGCACGGACGTTCCCATTTACTGTGGCTGCTTTACAGCGCTGTACAATAGCATTTGCTCAGGCTCTAACCTCCACGCCAGTGAACAGACCTGCAGTCATTTTCCTGCAGTTTGATTTTTAGAATTATAATTTGTCAACTAAAATTATTCCTCAATATATTTCAGGCTTTGTCAGCCTCTTTAGTGCCTGCTCATGTTTCTATTACAGCCGCCTAAAAATCAAAACACAAAGTGATTAGTAATCAAAGGAACCTGTCTCTCCCTGATGAGACTTTGATTATGAGATTTACATTCTAACTTTATCATAATGATCAAGGCTCTAATAGTTTCTATAGCAATAGTGTCATTGTACTAAGTCAGACTCCCCTAGCATTTTCCTCTAAAGCTTGCGTGCCAGCTTCAGTGGGAGGTGTAGCTCCATCTGTCCCCCCTGCAGAGCAACTGTTTGCCTTTTATCAATCACTTCAGCAGACCATTAGGAGCCACACAGCTGCAGTAATGCCAACCATCTGAATCACCTCATCGTGTGTGTGAGAATGTGTGATTGTGCTTGTTCGCGTGCCTGCCCGTGTGCAGACTGATTTTCCTCTCCCAGATTGTACTGCCCAGCAGCAGTGGCGGTGGCGCTGCGAGTGAGGGACAAATTAACCTGCAGGATTCGTGGAGAGGTGACATAAGATGTGTGGCTAGCAATCAAAAGGGTGAACAGATAAACAGCCAAGCAGCTGGGCTTCCACTGGGCAAATGTGTCTGGGAAATCACTTGATTGCCTCATGACATGCACACAGTCTTGCATGCACACACACAAAAACCCCACATCCACCTCTCAGAACCTTTCATTCAGTGGCTGACAGATCCGACAGGTGGGCAGCAGAGTTGATACTGTGTAATTTGTACGCAGCAAAAAGCGCCATTATATCTGCATTTGTACCTTATCTCTTTGACTTGGCTGGGGTGCGGTGCACGTTGGAATCTAGCCAAGAGGGTGCTGATGGGTAATTGATATGCTATTGGGATTGTTTTCACTCTGGGGCCATCTATTACGGCTTGGTGTGTCTCTGTATGCCGGCTGTGATAGACTGCTACAGCATGTACGGGAGATCAGTGCTGGAGGTGGGGGTGGGGGGGGTTATTGCACAATGGGGAGTGATTGAGGCGTGGAGGTAATGGTGTTTTCACAGACATGGCTACTGATATCACCATCATACCCCCATTTTAGGTCTGCCGGTGACAAACATCCATTTTGGACTCCTTGCATGGCTTCAGTTAGACAGAAGCTGATTGAAACCTTGGCTTTCTCCAGACAATGCTTCGACTAGACCGACTAGAAGATATGGTCCAAGAACAAATGTTGTGCATATTCGTAAACAAAAAAAAAAGAGAAGAAAGCAGCCTGATGCAGGAATGATATCATATTGGCAGATTTATGTGAGCCTTCTTTGTCATTTAGATATCATCATTACAACACTGAATTACTTCTCAATATGGCAAATGTTTGTCCCTCGATCAGTTAATTCTTCTGTTTAAAATGTTTTAATCAACATGGAAAGTACAGCAGCGTTGTTCATAGTGTGTGAACATTGTTTTGTATTAAAACATACAAATGGTATCTAAACTGACAGAACTGCCATCTGACTGTGCTGCATGCTGGCATCTCGTTTGAGAGGTAACCAAAATCTGCAGTGAATTAACTGGCACCTGTTAATCCACTGCTAAGCTGTCGCCAGCAAAATAAATGAGACATTTTAAGACTGTCTCAAGCTGAAAGGTTAGTGACAGCTCCTGCCTGCTTTCCCCTGAGGTCTTTATGTAACCTTGTTCATATTCTTCGCCACTGGAAAGGAAGAAGCGCTGTTTTTCATGAATCAGTGCCATGCTAATAATTTGGTGGCTGACTGAAACCTTATTACTGTTATCAAGAACAGCCATGTCCACAGGGCCGAGGGATCAGACTGATTCACGACTGGAAGTGTACGTTTTTTAATTGACAGACATGCATATAAATTAGAGGCCTTCGGCAGCATGTGCAGTACAAATATAGGCCTAGAACATGGAATTATTACAGCTGCTATTACTGTATACTATCCCTTTTTTTAATTTTTCAAAGTACTATTTAAATAAAGCAGTTTGATTAATCAATTAAGTGTTAACACAGCACCGTTATGATGCACAGAAAAGTCATTGTTTAGCTGGTCTGCTTCTCACACATGTGACACCGTCCAGTTAATTGACTTGAACTGCCAGGAAATATGTACATTTAGGATCAAGGTCATAAATAAATGAGTGAATATCATTTTGTAAACTCTATCAAAAGTCAAAAAAGTAAGTATTTATGGCCTGACAGCTTTGTTTGTGGATTTCAAGTGAAAAGGAAGAACTTTATTATGCATGTCAAAGACAATTCTCTGATACAAAGCCGGTGATACCAGATATAACAGAAGCAGAGAAATGACTACTGTGTAGCATAGCATGCAAACTACTACATATTTTTGAAACAAAGATGTCAAATATGTGGTAGGCTAGGATGTTTCACCTCAAAAAAATCTAAATACTCAAAATGTTTAGCATTCTGTGTCCCAGACCGAACCAGACTAACACCAAAATGAAAATATAAAACTAATGAATAGTCATAACAAGCAAATTCAGGAAACACAGGCTTGAAAACAACACTGATATAGGTAACCAAACTGACCTTCTGTACCCTTGTTTTGATGTGTACTGGGTTGAACTAGCAGTGAATAAAAGCCGCCTCTTCTGTAGTGTAGTGTGAAGCTTGAGTACAGTACCTGTCACAGGGCCAGATTATAAATCAAGTGGATTGTATGCAACTGGGTGCTGAGGCTAGTGATATCATATTTTTCTATCAAGCTGAAATCAAAGGACCCTTAGATAAAGTGCATCTTGTGGTTCTGCATTCATTACAAGTTTGTGTGATATTGGCTTAACTTGGAGCCAAACATTGCATTTAAATACTTCTCAAAGAGATGAGAGTCTGGGTTTCATTCATAATGGCCAAAACCTTGTAAGTCATCAGGACTCTGTCATAGACTGAAGTTTGATCTGCCAAACCATTAAAAACTGTGAATCAAAGAGGAGAGGAGGACATTAATAAACTGACTTTTAGTTGGAACCTCTTTTTGGCACTGACGCAGTCCAAAATGGCTCCGTTTTTAAAATTATACTGACTGACATATTCAATTTCATTTGTATGAAAGGGGTCATTTCCTTTCTGAAACTTCAACTTGCAGGGTGTAGTGGGGCTGGGGAGGGTGATAATTAATCCTAACACATTAGGTTGCTGTCTGCAAGTACCCTGCTCCATTTTGGACATACGGGTAGAAGAAAGGAGCATTTAGAGATGTCATTAACCTTATTTGACATCTTTAAGCCACATCGGTTTGGTGGCACTGGTGAATTCTTAAAATGGCAGCCAGTGGCACAAATTAGACTGAAAGACATGGCTAATGTTGGGTGAGGGATGTGGAGAGCGCTGTATGTCATTTGACTTTTTGCAATCATTAGGGATATAATGATAGCAAAACTAACTTTTAAAATGAATTAAAAAGCTGAGAAATTGCCCTTTACTAAATAATAAATCAGCATTTTTGTATAGTGTATAGAAAAGATAATGCAGCAGTCAGTAGCAGATTTTTTTGAGATAAAAAATATATTATTGCAGCAGCTGGATCTTGTATATTAAACAAGTCACATGCACAGTAGAACATCAGTGCTTTAGTACCCTCTTTACAGGTTGAAATATTTTTGTTTGGTGACTGTGCTGACCAGTAGTCGGGTTCTCAGTAGGCTACTAGCTAAGTGGTTGGTTTTGCGTATGTACATCTGGTTTGTCCCCACGTGTTTCTGTGAGAAGTATCCAGGGCTGTCTCAGTCCTAAAGAGGACTAGTATTGGCTTCGTTCAGCAGCATTTTCAAATTGTTCAGCATTTGTCACTTTCCTTTCTGCCCACATCATTCACT